TCTTCTGGAAAGAGGAAAACTTGTAAAATATGTATTCATAAATGATGATAATAGTAATGCAAAAAAAAAACCTAAATGAGAGTGTGACGGCCTGTGCATCTATGAACTCTCATCTGCTCTACATAGATCACAAAGAAGAAATGGTAAGATTCCAAAGTTTTAGAGTTCTCTTAGTCAATATATATTTACAGAATTCACCCATAGTTTTGTACATACTTGTGGTTCATTTATTTTAAGATCTGTATAATATTCTATTGTCCATTTTATTTATATTTTCCACCATTGATGTACACTTGATAATATCGAGTTGCTTTACTTAGAAAACAGTTTCTTTAAATGCTTTTGATTCTAATTTAACTTAGCCATTGTACTCTTACTTAACATTAAGGAAATTAGGCATCTGAAAATGTGCAGATTTATCGTATAGTGAGAAGAATCTTGCACCTACAGATCAGACATCACATAGAGGTTCCCAGTGTCCGGCATCCCCTCCTTCCTGCTCATCACTCCTTGCTGGTTACTTAGCCACTGTCTTGACTTTTAATATCATAGATCTCCTTGTTTCTTATTAAGTTTATGGCATCATACAGACACATGGTTTTGAAAATATGCTTTTTTTCACCCTCCCTATAGTATCTTTTGCAGTTGTCCCACAATATTGCATTTATCTGTAGTTTGTTAGATTTGCTGCTGAATTAATTGAATGTGACATGTAGCCATCATTTTGCCCAGTGTCCATGCTGGGGGCATGAGACCCATGCTCCAGGGTCAAGAGGTTTCCTGGCTTGAGCACATTCAGTCTTAGGGTCCTTTGCTGCTCCCCCTCCACTTGGTGCCCTGCCCTGTGCCTCAGGTGGGGAGCAGGAGAGGCGCCTCCTCTGGCTGCTTAGTGTTAGCAGGGGAAGCATCCCCCTGTCAGGCTCCCTGCTGTCTCTGAACTGGATCCCCTTCACTCAGGGGGTCACCTCCTGTTATTAACGGGATGCGGAAGCAGAAAACCTGGGTCACATTCTGTGGGTGGGATTATAAAATCCCATTACTCGGAAGTTCCTAAATGTTGGGTCTCAAGCCATTTTGTCTTTTCATTTCTACCTTTTATTCTTCTACTTAACTCTTCCCTTTAACTAAAAATTACAGTTCTGCTTAGCAGGGGATAGTGTGGAGTGAGTACAATCCCCCTTTTCTGGAACGCTGGATTCTACCAGTTTAGATACAGAGTCATCTGGGGTTTGCATAGTTTAACATAGTATAAAATTTGGATTCTATGTCATTAATTTCATCAAGTTAATTTTCCTTTTAAATCCACATTCAGACAAAAGTAATAGAAAAGTACATTATTATTATTATTAATTTTTACTATATATGGAGATCAGAATTGAATAGTATCTGTACTTAGTTAAGATTTCTTGCTCTGTTATTTTGTTGTCATGGGTAATTTCAAAATGATGTGAAACAGAATTGTACTTTGTAAATTAAAGAGAGTGAAACTACTGGAATAAATGTTGAGTTTCTTTTATATAAAAATATAGACATTGCTAAAAATTTTTGGAAATATATATTTTCAACTCTACATCTTAGTGCTAGATGGGAATCAACACTAATCCATTTGAAAATGAACACTCCTCTGAGAGGGCACCCTACTTTTACTGTTAAAACAATGTTTTCATCATGGTTATTTAAATAATTTTTTTGTTCTTGGAAAGGAATTTCTGAAATATCTATCACTTCTCTTATGGATTGGAATCTCCTGAAAAAGCAGTGACCACCCGTAGCTGCCAATAGATGGTTCAATTTGCAATTAAAGGTAAGTTCTCTCTTCTTTTTGAATGCATGTGGTTGATTTTAATAAAATCGTTTCAAATTTGCAGGGTTAAACCTACAAATTAGAAAGTGTAATGTTTTCATTCATCACTATGATAAAGAATGTTCAGTACATGCTTTATACTCTTAAAATAATGCATTCACATCTAAAATACTTAAATGTACAGTTAATAAGTGGAATAATAATTCATTATATTTTCCTCTGTTGTAGTCATTGTTTTTCATTTTTACTTATCTGCTTGTTTTAACTCATCATCTTGGGTACCCATCAGTTATTACACCATGGGGTGCCCACCACCAGCTCACCCAGCATCACCCCCATGTCCTTCCTTGTGTTTCCCACCTTCTTATTCTCACCGCTCCTCTCCCCCTACCTGTTAAGCTTTCTTTAAGTAATAATGTATAGAGGGAAAAGGATGTAAAATTAATAATAATAATAATAATAATACAGCTGCTTGACATGAATTATAGACATGATGATATTATGAGAACATTTGATATTTGATATATTACAAAGTATGAACAGCTTAAAGACATACTGATAGTCTTCACACTTTTCAAAATATTCATATATTCATTCTAGTTGTATGGAAAATGCTGTTGTTTGTTGGTAGCACATAATATCATAATTAATTATTTTCTCCATTACAACATAACATATCCCTTACCTGGGAAGTATAACTGTTTTGTTAACCTCATCTGGTCTCACAGCAGATCTTTGTGAATATGAAAGTTATTATTGGTGTAAGCATAGACTTACAGTTAAGAATGACAGAATTGGGGGTCTCTGTGGTAGAGCGGGGGTTAAAGTGCAGCACTATGAATATATCTGCAGCCAAGGCAGAGGGTCCCCTAGGGAGCTAGGGAGCTGACCCACATGGCGCAGCAGACCTCTCCTGTCTCCCTGGCTGCTCCCCTCAGCAGTGTATATGGGTCAATCTCTCTTCTGCTCCCCACTCTGTCTCTGATGAATCCTCTCATCCCCCACGCTGTAGGCCTGTACCTGTTATTATATGTATAAATTTTTGAAAAGTATGACAGAATTTGTATTCTGTTGGGAGACTTTACATTTTATGAAATAAATACAAATATTATGATTACATAAGTCTTAATATGATCATATTTGTTATAAGAATGACATTTTTACAAAAACTATTGAAAAACATAATACACACATCAAAATTACAGATACCATTCTTTGTGTGTATTTTTTTGTTCAACCTTATACTTGTAACATTCAACCTTTATGAAGGTCACGTGGTATGTGAGTCTTTCTATGACATATGAAGAAACAGAAAATTCATAGATAGAGAAAGTGGGCTGGTGGTTGCTGGGCACTGAGGGGAGGTGAGAGGAGGAAATGACCATCACATTGGTTTAGTGCTGTCTTTTGGGGTGATGAAAGCTACAAACAGTGGCTATTCTGAAATCTTTGATTCATGCTCTCTGAATGGATGAATTTTATGTTTTGTAAATTTTACTTCAATGAATCTTTTAAAGATATATAAAAACCTGGGTTTATTTATTTTTAAATATCTATTTTTTATGCATATAAAAACTGGGGTTTTGACCATATGTATTGGGGTGGGAGGGTGAAAGGATTCCCCAGATACAGGTGGGGAACAGAGCATACAGATTGACGAAATACACTGCTGAGGGGAGCAGGTGGTGAGACAGAAAAGGTCTGCTATGCCATGTGGGTCAGCAATAGGTTTCAGGCATTAGCTGTGACAGTGCTGAGACTTAACCTGAAAAGAGTATTCTTTGCTTGTTATTGAGTTACTGTGCATAGGTCACTGGATATTCTCACAACTAGAAACATTCACATTATATATGCATATATATGTTTGTGTATACATACGTATACACACACGTACATAAACACAGTAAGACTATTTTTGTATATATTATGAAGAGTAAATTATAGCTACTTTTATTGTAACTTCTTTTATTGTAACTTCTATTGGGTCTTTATACTGTTTGACCATAGTGCTCATCCTCACCAGCTCTTGTTTCTGACTCTTTGAGAGACAGCATCTCACAGCTATGAGGTACCTCACGGAGCCCTTGATTTGCCTATCTTTGATAATGATCGTTTTGTCATATAACTTCAACCTGTGTTAGGAAAGTCTATTTTTTTTTTAATCTCCCCAGTTTTTGGCTAGTGAGATTTTTGAAAGTTTCTTTTGTAATTCTGTTATATAAATACACTTAGGTTTTTATCATTTGCAGCAAACATCCCTCTTACAACACAATTATTATTGAAGGATGACTGAATGAATGGTGGTAATATCTTAGTTACTGGAATGATAATATAATTTAATGTTTTTCTTTTTTTTATCAGGGGAAATCCAAGGAATTTATTTATGAAGAACAGAATTGAATAAAATTGAATGCAGGAATTTTAATAACTAGGAAGGATATGTTGAGAAGATAAGTTTAGAGATTGATTTTTGTTACAGAAAATTGACAGTGTAGTGAGTTTTAGAATAAGTAGTAACAAACATCATTAAACATATATTGGTAATGGATAATTGTATTATTTTTTCCGTTATAATATAAATGATATAATAAGGGTATAGGGGAAAAGTGTGCAATATTAAAACTTATACACCTTGCTATATAGTAGAATTTAAACATTTAAAATGCTCTTAACAAGACCTAAGTTTTCAGCATTTATGGTTGCCATGGAAATAAGCTACAAATATGGTGTTCAAGTGTCTTGTTCCCTGATTTATTTTGGAGGCATTTGAAAATGACAAACCTAAATGCCACCTGTAACCCATAGTCTCCCATAGTCTGGAGGTGTGTGATGAGGTGACTCTTCAGTATAGCCCAAGTGTAACAATTTCCTGTTCAAGCTGCTAGTGACACACAAATGAGAAATCTACTTTTTCCATTCTTGCTTCACTCTGAACCTTCACAGGGCAGTTCTAGAGATCACAGACATTGTTTTTGATCACAGATCAGAAACAAGTGCTGGTGAGGATGTGGAGAAAGGGGACCCTCCTACGCTGCGGCTAGGAAGCTCTGGGGGACCAGTCCTCAAGAAGACCAGTGTGGTGGTGTCTCCCCCTCACTCGAGGATGCCAACTCCTAGCAGCAGAAGGTATGTGTTTCTCCTCTCCTCTCTCTCTGCTGGTCCATCTCTTTTAGTGGAAGGTTATGTTAGATGTGAGGCAATTGATACGCAATTCATATGTGGTCAAATCAAAGAGAACAATGGTATCTTTATTTGAATAATTCAGGTAAGACACAAGAAGAAAATTAAGTACTTGAGAATATTTGAAAATACTTTAATTATTCTTCAGTGGAGAATTAGTCATGATTGCATTTGTAAATCACTTCAACTTAACCTGAAATTTCAAAAGATCATGACAAAGAAGAGTTTACTTTGGAATTCATAATCATATTCTATATACTTTTATATTTAGCTCAATATTTGTAATTAGACTCTTTAAATAAATTCATCTCATCCTGAAAGTCAAAGGTAATTCCTCATCTACTTGCTTACAGTCAACATTAAAAGTTCTAATATTAACAGAAAACAAGATGAGATAGCTTCCATCAAATGTTATTTTGAATTAAAAAGTATAGAAAATGTTTACAAATAAACAAAGCATTGTATAAGAACTAGCACACTGATAAAACCGACTCCTGTCTAATGAATGAGGTTAGATAGTATAATTATTATGAAATGAAAATAACATGGTGGTTTTATCAAAATAATAATTAATGAATGTATTATTAACAGCTTATAAAGTGAGATTGAATATCATGTTTTACAAGTATAACAGCTTAGATATTCCTATTTCCATTTTAGATTATTAAACTAAAACTAAGTTGGAAGACTCTGCATAGCATTTCACTTTATTTTTTTAATTTAAAATTAAGAAGAGACAGTAAGTATCAAAGTAAGAATTCTGAATCCCACTCATTCAGAGTCTATTACTGAAATGCTAAAATTATGATTTATTTTTGTAATTACTGGCAAAACTAAGGGAATATTCTTAACTTGGATAGTTATAGGATCTTTCTTAAAGTTTTAACCAACTATGTTGCTCCAGTAATTAATGAGCCAGAATGTATTTATCATTTTATATTTTTTGTGTAACTATTAAAGCTATTACCAATTTCTTATATTGCTTAAAATTACTTATTTTTAAAACATTTTATTTTTGTTTTCAATATTTTTTAGCCTTTGGATATTCTTAGCTTACTTTTAATATTAGCCAACATATAAAATGTCTTTAACATTTTAAGAAATCTCAGAATATCACGATAGTGAAATACATATTTTGAAATAAAATAACTTGATATTAATTTAGTAACAACTCATCTTCTTTTAACAAATAAAATAACCTACAAAGTAAAAACAGTGTAGGAAATGCTAACACTGCTATTCCTTCAAATAAGAACATTCAGCCTTTAACCATTAGTTTTAAAAATTGTCATAAAAATTGACACCATATTTTTCTAAGCCACCATTTTCATTTTAATATACCAGTGTGTTAAGATGTTGTTGTGGAATATGACTATAAATTAATAAAGCCATTATCGATCATGTGCTTCTCATATTTGACTATTGTTTTTTGGCTTTTCTTTTTTTCCGACCAATACTATAGTGTCAGCATAGAATAGTCTTTTAAAAACTACTTACTCTCATCAAACATAGTTTACATTTCCAAGGAGTTCATATTTTTAATTTTTTTCATTGAGGTAATTTTGGATTACATCAGAGTTTGCATGTTGGAGTGATGGTCCCTCTTCTGGTGATGTTACCTTAGTGCTCTAGGACTTCAGACTGGACACTTGTGTTGTTCAACAGCAACATGAGTCCATCACTCAACTCACTCCACCCACAGTGATCTGGTCCGAAGCGCCACGGTGAACTACCGAGAGACTCCCCATGAGACAGTTCCTGACTCACAGAGCAGCAGAGATGAACGACCACAGAGTAACCTATGCAGAGGTGAAGCTGGCGAAGGGCTCGAAAAGACCTCAAGTGAAACCTCAAGAGAGGAAAAGCTGCACCACAGTGACCGAGCAGGGAATAACCTACGCAGAATTAAACCTCCACAAATCCCGGGGTCCTCAGGAGAATGGCAAGTCCCGTCAGTGCAAAGGTACAACATTCAGTTACATGAGCATATTCTCGGGTGTGCAGAGGGGTTGAGGGGAAGGAAGAATGGGGATAAACTGACATGTTTTCATTTGTGAGGATCAGAATTGGAACATGGTATACTAGTAGGAAATCTGATGGCTAATTTTTCAGGTATTGTTATAATTTATTATTGCTGACAAACAAAAATTATGTGTAGTTTGTTTGCAAAAAAGAAGAAATGTTATGTTGTGAGGGGAAAGATTCCAGTGGGAGGTAGAGGTCTCATGTCCAGGTTTATGTACGTGACTTCCTATGCATGAAGATTCTCTTGTCTGTGAACTGAACACCTGTCTCCGTCTCTCCTTTCTCAGTCTCCATCTCTCTCCCCGCAGGCTCACCGGCTCCTCCCGAGAAGCGCATAGCTGGGGTCTTGGGACTCACCTGCCTTGTGCTGATATGCGTTATTGTGTCAGTGATTGTTAAAACCGTAGGTAAATTTATGAAAGATTATAATGGACTTTTCACTTAATGATTGTCAGTGCCTTTAATGAAACAATTATGTTATGTATCAGTTTAGTAAAATGTTGAATTAAAGCTTCTCAAAGTTATATGGAATGATATAGACAAAATACTCAGTTATCATGATTCATAGTTATGCTTTAGGAGACTGAGAGAACCTATTGAAAAGTATGAAATAATATTTGAGATTTGGTAACCATATACTGTAGCAGACAATGAAATCTGACTCTGAATTTTTATAATAATTCTGTCCAAATCTTTACTATTTTATTAATTTGCAGGGAAATTATTATAGATTATTACTATAACCCTAGCAACATGAAACACTTCTAACTTAGAAAAATCATTATGATTACTATTTACTTAGAACACTAATATTTATAAGGATTACTTTATATATTTTCTACCTACTATTTTCACAGCCAGATGATTTCTCCCCAGCATCAAAGATCCAGAAAGGTACACAATGACTTCCAAAATTTTGATGTTAGTATAGTTTATTTAATGTATGTGTGTTATACTGGAAAAAAGGTAACACATCTTTTGGTAGAATATACATTATAAAATCAAATAATAAGTGCTCATGAATAATGATAATGGGGGGGTGTCAACATATCCAACAACAGGAAGAAAATTTACTCAGAACCTTCACATTCTTGTGGTCACTTGGCTATTATATGACATAAACAATTTTACCACTAAAACATGACTTTATTTACTGGTTGCCAGGACATACACAGTGGACATTTCAGGTGTGAGTTTGGTTTCTATGGGCACATAAGCTACAGCATGAGAAGCTGCTACTTCTCTGAGTGTGTGTGGTCTGTGCCCGTTGTGGGGGGTGTTACGTACCTGATTGCTCATATCTCGGTGTGTATGTGAATGATGTGTCTTAGGTTATGAATCCAAATGATTGTAGGTATTCATTAAAATCTCTCTTCAGAATACAGTTGCGGCCCTTGCCCACAGGGGTGGTTCACCTACTCGGGCAGCTGCTATTACTTTAATGCTGAGAAAAAGACCTGGAACGAGAGCGTGACCGACTGTCAGAGAAACAACTCTCAGCTGCTCTACATAGACTCTGAGGAAGAAATGGTAAGAATTTCAGTGTCCCAACCACCTTATGGAGACTATATATATTTTTACACATACCTGTAGTTTAAAGTTTGTGTAATATTCTAGTGTTTTAGGGTTTTACTAATATTCTGCACTATTATTGCACTATGGTAAAACCCAGTCCATGGCTCTCATAGAAAACCAGGTTTCCATATATATATATATATGTATATATACATATATGTGTGTATATATAATATATGATAGTATTATATATTGTATTATATTGCATATATAATATCATATATTATTAATATACAGAGACTATATATGGGAATATAGATGGATTCATTATATATATGTATGTATATATAATGCAATAGTTTATTTTTACATAATTTTGTAACTTTTTCCCTCTTAGTTGTAATCCCCATGGGGTTCCCATCACCAAATCACCCATGAGCCATCACCATAGTCCTGTGCACTCCCCCTGACCCCCATTTTTTATCCCATTCCCCACTCCACCTCCACAAAATGTCTCTGGTATATAGTTGTTCATTATTATTATTTCCCCCCAGTCCTTTATGCTCCTGCTATGAATGAAACCCTCCAGTATTTTTCCTTTTCTTTCTGGCTTGGTAATATATATTTAAATAGACATGGTTGTTTCACTTTCATACACATCAAGAAAGGCAGGTAATTTGGGATCACACAGGTAATTTGGGATCACACAGATTACAAAGACATGGAAATTGTATCTGCAGAGCAGATCATGCTTTCATACTTAAATGCCTCACACATATATAATTTGCTCCTGTCCCTTCCTCCCCTATAATTCTTCAGTAATGCTCTACATTACTTCAGTTATCTGCTATTTGCTAATTTTTATGGCAGAATTTTACGAGACAACATTTTAAAATCTGCTCTCTTTTATATGACAGGAGTGGGATGTGAGGGTCATCTTTTCAGAGATAAAGGAGCTTTCTGGCTCAGTGTTTTCCATCTTAGGGTCCCCTTAGTTGTCCCCTGTCTACCTCGCAGCCCTCCCCCCGCCATGTGTCCCTCAGTGGTGGGGGTGAAGTGTGTTCCTGCTGCTGACTGCTGTCACTGTCTGGATCAAATCCCCCCCTTGACTACTGCTGCTGGACAGGACCCTCCCTGGTGGGTGATGGCTGCCAGCCTCCCGCTGTTGTGGGTGGTTGCTGACAGGACACAGGCCAGGTCAGAATGTTCCTAGTTCACATCACAAGAGAGTGAAGCTGCTGAGTATCAGTGTGCAGGAGCCAGGTCAGACCAGGGCTGAGGGCCTGAGGGAGCTGTGGGCTCTGACATGGTGCTCGCCTCCCTGTGGGGCCTGTGACAGGTTGGAGTCTCGGTGTCTCTACATTCTGAAAATGGAGGATCTGATGAAAAAAAACATTGCTTATTATTTTTTTTAATGAAACCTTTCATAATTCCTATATAAGTGAACTATCTTTATGTTTGAATAGACATTTTTTAAAACCATAACAATGTTGTCATGGACTGGAGTCTATCGTAACGGCAGCCATCAGCCATGGACGCTGGTAAATGGGTCAACTTTCCGATTAGAGTAAGTGTTATCTAAATCCTGTTACTTACAAGAAGAAAGGTTTGAGAAGAACCATAAAAAGGGTCACATTAGTGCATTTGATTACAACTATACACACAAAATCATATTGAATATTAATGGATCTTAAAAAATATAGAAAAAAAGGACAACTTGTCTAACTTGCAACTTTTACAAATATCCTATAAAAATACTTTTCATCTATTTTCAAAAAATATGTCAGTTAAAAAATGCTATTATTTCTTGATTTGCCCTAACATGATATAACAACAGAATTATTAACTTTTTTTCAGGATAAGAGAAGCATCACCTGGTCGCTATCACTGTGTTATGCTACAAAATATACATTATGCAGAGGATTGTGAAACTCAAATTATGTATTATTGCAAGCATAAGTTTGTATTGAAAAAAACCTAAGTTGGATTTATTCCGTTAATGTCATTTTTTTGGGTTAAGATTTATTTATTTATTCATACAGAACTGGGGTACAAGCCAGAAATTCAGAAGGTGAGAGGATTCACCAGAGACAGAGTGGGGAGCAGAACAGGCAGATCGACGAAGTACACTGCTGAGGGGAGCAGCGGGCGGGTCAGGAG